AAAAAAAAAAAGGAAGAGGGAAAAGCAATTTAACCATGTGGGGGGTGGGGGTCAGTGCAGGGGGAATGATCTAAGATAGATGTGGTGCTGACTGTACAATTTCCCTTGATATAATTAAATGATTGAAATATTCCATTATATGATATGTAAATTGTATGCCAATAAAAATGTTAGGGGGGAAAAAATGGAAAGCCTTATAAATAGTTAAAAGTCTGTTTGTTGGCCTTTAAGAGTATTTTCCGGTTGAGTCTGATATGATGTCACACTGTCTACAAAGTCCATTTTTGGTATTCCCCAGGGATTTCAACACTTTTCTGCCCTAGCTGTTCTGTTGCATGCCCTTAGTGTTTCGCCCCAGCGTGATGGGGTCAGATTGTGCACAAATCCTGCACTGTCTCCAGTATTGTCCCCCGCAGCACTATGGTTTAGTGAGGGACGGCGTGTCTTGTGGTGGTGGGGTGGGGGGGGCCGCAGGGGGTGGGGGTGGGGGCGGCCCTATGGTCCTCTGTGCGGTGTCTTCTCTGAGCTGTAATACTGTTCTCAGGGTTTGGTGGGCCAGGATGTCCTCCCCTCCCTCTCCATCTCTTTTTGTTTCTCCCATGTGCTCTAATCAGGCACGCCCCTCTCCCCAAGCTGTAGTCTGTCCCAGTGCTGTCCTCTGAAGTGCATTCTTCCAAGGGGGCGGGGAAGAGGAAACTGTCCATGTAGTTGGGATTGGGGCCAGCCCCATGTTTTTTTGTATTAAATAGCGTGTGCTCACTTAATGTCTCTGCCATATAGATAATTTTTACAGTATTTTAAATGTTTTATAGGCTACATTAAATACTTAATAAACAAGAGTTTCTTTTTTGTTGTTTGAGAAAGTAGTAAGGATTTAAACATTTTATATGCACTTGGAAACAAAAACATTCATGCAAGTTGCTTTAATTTTGTGACATTTGCTTTATTTTGGTGATCTGGAACTGAATCTGCTATATTTCCAGAGTAATTACTGACTTTGTTCTAATCCTGATGGTTTTTATTTAGGGATTGATATTATGGATGAAGGTAAGTGTTGGACTGTTAACTGCAAGCTTGTCGGTTCAAACTTACCATACCCTTAGCAGGAGAAAGATGAGGCTTTCTGCTCCTATAACGATTTGCAACTCTAGAGACACTATATAGGATTGTTCTGCATTGAAATTGACTAAATGACAATGAGATTGGCTGGAGGCCTTATAGGCAGTGTCCTTTTGTGTGTCTTGTTTCTAAATTGCTAAAAGATAGTCTCAGGGATTAGCCTTGGTTCTTGG